TTTTGCCGCTTTGCATGAAATCAGAATATAAAATACAAAATTTACGTACATTTCTCGACCCCGTTGTCCTGTCGCTTGTCACGACACGTTGATGCTTTTCTCACAGGATACTGCTGCACCATGGTCCAAGTGTTTTCAATTCCTGGGATTCCTTTAAAGAAGCCCCAGTTAATAAAAATCGACATATGATTAAAATCCATATAAAAAAGTACTTTAATTTGTAAGTTGCAGTTGCTAGCAGCCTCTCAGCCCTCAACACTCGTGAAAACGGAGCCGCCCGCAACGATTGCCTGTTCGGTGCCGATTGCTGCTACCTCTATAAACAATAATGCGGGTGAAATGGCCGGCAGCGGTGATGCGATCAGGTTCCTGAGTGCTAGCGGACCGCTGTTAACATCCGGTGGCATTGGCGGCTTCCCGCATCCGATGGAACATGAGGCTGCCTTTAGGGCAGCAGCGATAGCTCAAGGCGCACTACCATTTCCAGCAATCTATCCTGGCTTGCATGCTGCGGTAAGCTTTGTCTTTCACTTTTGTTATGATAAATCTGTAGCATGAGCAATAGGATATACAGATATAATAGCGCCATGCCTAGCTTATTGACTACTCTGACTTCGAAAGGTAAGGTACCGGCCAAAAGAAATCATTTCGGATCCGGTACAACTTTTTTCTCAGTTGAATTTAATGCTTTTTGTTGTTCCAATATAGTTCAATTTCTCACTTGCTCAATTTTTTACTTATTTTCTCTATTTCCTCACTTTGTCCAAGCTCCATCCAGACTACTTCGAAGCCTCCTCCTTAAATAAACCATCATTCTGGCATCTGATACTACTGCTTTCAGCGTCTTGTCAAAGTCAAGAAATATTTTTTTGTTTAAACTTTGAAGTAAAAAAATTCTTGCACTTCCCTTATTTCTTGATTACCTACATCTTTTTATCGTATTATTCAAATCTCATTCATCTGTGAATTTTCGAATCAGTCCATAATTTTGCAAAAGATTGTTGAGAAAGAGTAGCAGCAGCAACAAGCCGTGAGACAAATGCTGCAGTGCTAAGTACCACTGTTTACCCCCTCCTTCGATGTAAAATAAACACGGGAGAATTTTGTTGTCATTGGGGCAGCTCAAGTAACAATTCTTGCAGAAGCAAGAAAGACACTAGAGACGAATTGTTACCTGAATTAGTCTTTTCTTCACTGCCATTTAGTTAGTCGGAGCTTACCAGACATGGTGCTTCGTAAATTATTTTGTTAAATTCGGCTAATAAGCTTGGATGGACATTAGCGATGGATGGGTACTGTCAGTGAAGCTTGTTTGGTGTGAAAGCGAAAGATTTTTGAGAGGAGTATGTCCAGAAGGATAGTACGTCAACACAGTGGTCCCACGCTATAGAGGAAGAACCAAACCGTCCGCGATTACTTGAACTAAATTCATTGGTAAACCCCGGTTCCCAGTGCTCAGTATTGTGCTGCAGTAGATGAAAATACGCAACACGTAGCTTACAATTCCGTGATGTAAGCTGCATTTTAAATCTATCATGAGACTTAACAGAAAAAAGGTAAGAAAAAAGTTGCTAATAGGATCTTTCCTACTTTTGTCTGAATATTCTTTTAGCACAAAACTGTGCATATTTAACGGTGAGTGAACGTCAAAAATGCTGCAGAGACTCCTTCCGTAGCCTCAAAACCTTTGAAATCGTTGGCATACAATCAGTGTTCGGTTGTTAACTCTCCATATTTTACTATCTGACTCGTGCATGATTAACACCTCTAGCTGGGTCAAAGTGCCCTACATCGTTAAAAAGTTACATGATCAAATTGCTGCAAATCGTCTTTATTTCCTCTGCAGAAGAGCCGGAAGGCAAGAATCTATATCCCGTCCCGATCTCGCCCAAACCATTCGGCTTTGCCAGGATCGATTGTCTTGGAGGGTTTTGCATTTCCTTTTGTAAGATCTTTGACAGTGCCTTCATCTTTAAACCATTGACAACCTTCCCAGCGGGTGGTTGCTATCGACGGTGCACTGTGATCGAGTCTCTTTCCACTAGACATACAAAATGAAATATGGGATGGATCGTGGCTTTTGACTGAAAACAGCGCTTTTTTGAACTGAAATTGTTTGGCGCCTTTGTTCAGCAACAGCGCTTTGTGAAAACCAGAAAAGAAGG